AGACCTGCTCTATTTGAAAAGTGTCCTGAGATAACTTCTGTTATGAATTGGTGCTATACAAATAAAATTGAATTGAATTGAATTGGTAGGGGTTCTATAATTTGTCCTAAAAAAAAGTTTACTCGGATGTCTAAAGATGTCTCTTTTTTGTTTTGTCGTGGACTATCTAACATTATTTTGTTTTGTGATAGATTGTTGTTCATTACTTTTAAGATGAGCCTTGGTGATTAAAGACAAAAACCTTTGCTTGACACGAAACCGTGAAAACTAAACAAGGATGGACAAGAGACATCTTGAAACAAGCCTGGACAAGACAATGCAGCATCGCCTACCGAGTCAAAATTCAGTGGGGGATACACACACAAGTACATGCACACACTCTGATTAAAATGATCCAGCTTTGTTATATCATGCATTTCAAATACCCTCTTTACACACACCTCCCACACAAGGTAGAACCAACAATGTCTGAAAGCGCAGGAAATCAGTGTTTACTCTTCCACTTCCTCCATCTTAGTCATCAACACCCTCTCATCTCACCACAATACCAGCAAATCACAATAGCGAAGAGATAAGGCTGAGAAACCTGCAATAAAAGCAAATAAAGACTAAACCTCACTGCGTTATACCAGACCCCCAATGTTCCCTCATCCTGCTGAGGAAAAATGATCTCATCCTGTAGCTGCTGACAGCACAAGTTCGCAAAGTCTGAGAAATGTTGAAGAGACTGGCCCTCTGACTTGCACGATTAGTTGGCTAATTGGCTGACAGGACGCAATTTATCAAGTAGGAGGAGGCTGCAGCTCCGTCAGCAGGCAAACTGAGCAGGACACTGAATGGACATTGAGATCTTAGACACACGAGAATGGTGAGAAAGGTACAGCACACACCGTGATGTGTACAGGAAATTGGTATATACTTAAATGTATGCAAAATGACATGTATAATAATCAAAGTCATGTTTAATGCAAGTAACAATTAATAGACTTTTGTAAAACATACAATTCAACCAAAAGTCAATATGTAATATTGAATCATTCCCATGTATTTCAAGGAATAGTTTGATATTTTGGGAAATAAGATTATTGATTTTTTTTTGGCAAGCGTTAGATGAGAAAATTGATGCCACTTTCTTGTCTGTAAGGGTCAATAGGAAGTTATCACAAGCAGACAGTAAGCTTACTCTCATCTACTCATCTTACTCTCACCAATTAAGTGAATAAGCGCATTTCCTAAACTGTCAAACTATTCCTTTAATCAAAATGAATGAAGATGGAGGCAGAGAAAATTAGAATCTTTATTATATCCTGGATTATTTTAGAAAAGCCAATTTGCTGTGTGTAAGCACAACACTTACTCTTCTGACTGTCTAAAAAAAAGCAGATGGTTAATAGTCCAGAATAATGTAGTACGGTGCTAAAATGTTGTGTCAGTTTGGACAAGTGTTTGGACAATTTTAGGTGGTTGAAACTGTCAACACACTGGTTTGTCCTTGGGCAAAATGTTTACATGCTGGGAAGAGTAATTGTGTTAGTGCTGTGTGTGTGTGTTTGTGTCAAGTACAACAACAGACAGAAAATACATAACAGGACTTATTGACTTTATCTGTTAGAGGAAATAAGAACTTAATTAACTGAAATCGCTGATGTATTTCTGTCTGTAAGGTGATGCAAATGAACGTTTTTATGAGATAGCGCAATACAGCATTAAATTTCACACCAATCACAGACACCAGTGGGCATTCTCAATCAAATTATGTCTCAACAAACAGTTGGCAGGCAAGGAACAGTATCCTGGACAAAACTGCAGACAGGAAAATGCAAATCCCATGCTCAAACAAAAGGATAAAATCAAAATCGTTACATGCTATTAAGTTAACTACTCCCATCTGGCAGCTTATTTCATTGAGGATTTTACAGAACTAATAAAAAGAAGTCACATTAGCAGCGTTGACTCAGCACAACATTTCTCATTGTTAACAATTACTCAGAAGCCTGGGGGGACACATGTTCACCATGGGTGGCCCAATCAGGATCCGACTTCCAAACCTGGGAAGTGTTACTAGGCTTTGCACATTGGGCGACGCAAAAGTTTCAAGTTTCTGTGATTCAGACAGACACTGAACTGTTAAAATGCAAAAAAATCATGTAGACATGTCATCCACCTACCTCCACCGTTCTTCTGGCAAAGGTAGGGGAACCTCCAGACGTTACCCAGGCCCACAGAGAAGCCCACCTGGGCCAGGATGTACTCTAGCTTGTTGTTCCAGGCGGGTCGGCCGTCTTCAGCGTCTGGGTCAGGGGAGGGCAGCAGGGCCTTTACTGGAGCAGTAGATCCAGGACTCAGACCCATGCTCATCTGACTGCTCTTATAGTCCATGGGGTGCTCCAGGGACAGCAGGTCAGCCACTGACTCAGTGACCGGCTCATTGCTGTGCTCCCGCTGGGTCACCTTGGTGTTCTTTGGCATAGCTGCAACACAGGAGCTCCTTCAGGCTAGGTGGTGGAGGCAAGTAGGAGAGCCAAAGGGGACTGACTGGAGGGAGATCAGGAGGAAGCAGGGAAAGAAAGTTGTGCCTTTTTCTTAAATCTGTGAAGAGAAATGGTTGGAGACAGACAGGAAATGTAACTGCTTAGGAATAAGTAAAGTACTTTTTCTGCTAAACCATAAAATGCTATTAAAACAACACTCTCATACAAAGACCCAAGAGTCCCAAGAGAAATTAACAACATTTAAAACTAAGTGAATGACGGAAAACCTTGAACTGGCTCTGTGTCTTGGAAGACAAAAATTTGTGTGATTATTTGTTCAAGACCCTTCACAACATCACAGGAAACAGGTTCAGGAGCTAGACTTTTGACAAGTGACTTTATCAATTTCTGTTCAGAATGGTGTGAACTGCTTTTCCTGTTTTCTACTTTGCACATAAAACATTTCAAAATGTCAGTAAAACTGCAGCACTTGAGAGCCATAAGTGAGGTATTTCAGTAATCCACTTCATTATGGTGAATGAGACCCAAAGATTGAATTACAATCCATTTCACAGCAGAGCCCATTATACTAAAGTTGAGTCATGTGAATAGCATGAACAGCAATGTGTCTGTGTGTGTGTGTGACTGCTGGTCTCAGGAGAATGCAGTATAATAAAACCAAAGCCTCAGATTTCATCAGTTATTAGTGTCCGTATTTGTTTCTCATCATGCAGATTCAACATCTTGTCTGCAGGTTGTTTTAAGATTTCAGAGGCTGTGATGAAAGAGTCTGGTAGTCCAGCGCTCCTGAATGAACTGTATTATTTCCTAAAGAGAAAACCTTTCTGGAAAGTTAGTCCCTCCAAATTCTCTGGCATGTGATACCTTTTCAGAGGCCCTTTGCAAAAATCCCCTAATAAGCCTACAATCCTGTTTGTGCTGCCTCCCTCGAGAGAAACTGGTGTAGATAACAACACAATTTAAGAGTCACTGTGTCAGAAATTATAGAAGGTTTGATTCTCCAGCATAAATGAGGATTTTAAAGTTGTTGTTTAATCAGAGGTGGTGAGCCACCCAGATCCTGACACATCATAACACATGATAACGGGCTAAACGCACTGATTGAAAGAGCACCGATTTAGTATTGCACTCCTAGACTTAGGAAACAAATATGATCAAAATTGATACAGCAGAACCAGAGATATGGTCTTTTTTATTCATTTCCTTATTCCCTGATAAAACATGGTGCTACATTAGTTGCAATGCAACTTGAATGCCTACAGTTCGGTTGGAGATTCAGGTGTGTTATGCTAGCAGTGGCCAATGTAGCCTTGGGCAGAGCTTACTTCGTTATAACTCGAAATAATAGCACCTCTGCTCTTTTATAATGTATAATGAGGAGGTCTTTAGTTCTGGCGAGGTGGCCCACCTCTGCTATTCAACACTGTGGGAAAGCCAGTAAACACTGGAGATTTAATCCTCTTAAATTAAAATGGAAATTTGTAGCTGCAAGCATGAAATACTTGTGCATGAAAAGACACTTGACCCTCGAAGACCCATGAAAACATTGTGAGACAATTAGCATTTACTATACATTAACTCATTAACTAAAGGTCAGCATAACGATGAATGATGCAGACAACCTTGGTTAAGAGAGCAGAAAACAACAGAAACCAGACTTCAGCTGTGTGGGATGGACGAGATCTGTCTTTTCACTCTGGTAGTTCAGGGGCAGAGAATAGAAGCCAGAGGTGTTTGATCTAGAGACAAGGCCTCTAATCTGAAAACAGATGCAGCCGACTGAGAGCAGAGCTGGGTTTTTATTCACTGTGACTTCTGAAGAACGGTTGCCAGCCAGCAGGACTCTAAGCCCACCCAGAGGCCGCACCAGCAGCACGCACATCACATTCCTCAACAGTGGCAATAAGCCCCTGCAGTCACGACACGCAGCAGCTCCTAGCCTCCGAGCTCTGCACAGATCCCAGAACTGCAGTGACCTTTCCAACAGCAGTCTACAACTACACAATAATGAGTCATCATCGAACACTCTCCAAATGAGGTGTGAAGCAATGAAATGCATGTTTGCAAACAAAAAAAGTTTTTCTGGCCAAGCTGCAGAGTTTTGGGGGATATTTTGAGCTCCGAAAGACCGTTCACACAATGTTTTACTTTTCTTATGATTGGAAATATCATTGTCAACTGTCGCAGTTCCCTACAGGTTAGGGTGATGGTGGCCCCCTCAAACACAAATGGCTAATAAGATTCTCACTTTGGCTTTCTAATCATGTGCAGTGAAAGTTTTCGATGTTGATGCAGAATTTCACCAACTTTCAGAGTTTCACAGTATGTGCTGACACAGATGGCACATAACAGAGACAGCAGGGCTTCACACACAGTGCAAGACACTCTTACAGTTTATGACTTAGAAATCATTCTCCATTTTAGGGAAACATAGTGAGTGGCAAGTTTTTTTTTCAGGATGAAAGTGTACTGAAGAGAATAAAATGAAAGAAGAAGAAGATATACTTTATTGATCCCCTAGGGGGAAATTGTTTTTTTCACTCTTTTTTTATACACACACACACACACACACACACACACACACACACACACACACACTGAAATGCAC